GGAACGATGGGATTTTAAATGTGCCCGAGAGTTGTATTTACTCTTATTTTATCCCTTTGAAAACAAATTTAAGACGGCATCTTTGTGAGGTAATTCTCCAAGAAAGATTGAGTGGTTGTGATTGGATTTGTTGGGCGCTTCTACTTTCTTTTAGTTCATGGGAATTTGACTCGGAAGCGCCTCAAATTCATTTTGTTGAGTTCCAGAAACTGGAGTACCCGAAAATGTTTCTCGGAACTCGGTACTGATTTCTAGGTCTTTGCTACGTTTAATGAATTTAAGACAATGGTTGTTTCTTGGTTACACAATTCTGGTGACTTTCTTGCATTTGGTTACACGGACACTGATCACACATGTAGAAGGGTTGCACGTCATGGGATAGGATAAGCATGATAAGGGATCAGCTTAGATGGATGTAGGGTAATTTCTTTGATGGATTTGTTTATGACATAATGGTTTTCCAGCGACGAAGTCTTTTAATATAAAGACTAGTGCTAATAATGGACTAGATCAAAATGGCTCAATTAAATTCTAGTGCTTCTTCTATTAGTGAAGTTTCTAGAAAAAATATTATCAAACGACGCAACCCACCTTGGGTCGCTAAGGAAAACAGCCTCCTTGTATAATTACAAGGGTAAGGTCTGCGTACAACTGACCCCCCCCCCCGACCTCAACCTGTTGGGAATATACTGGGTATGTTGATGTGAATGTTGATGACTATCATTTTAATAGTTAGCCCTTGAGTCTGTGGCTTGGTTCTGATATTTTTCTAATTACAGATGGATACAACTCTTTTCGATTAAATCAACAGTATCCTTTTTATTTTTTTGTTTCTAGGGATGAATATTAAGTTAATTTTTCTTGTGTCCTTTTATAAATGATGGATGCTTTCTATTTCATTCAATAAGTTGCAATTAGTTGAAACCCTTTCATTCAAGTCGGACTTACTCTTTTTTTTTTTTTAATTGACTTGGTATGCAATGTAGAGTGTGGGTTGAACCTGGTTCTTCTGTCCATATAATTACAGTTTGCTACACAAGCCATTACGAGATATTTGAATTTGATGTCCGGAGTTATTGTCAGTTTAATTAATCCTCTTTGTATTATATTCTCATTGTTAATTGGACATGTGATTCATATGGCCGACCCCACTTAAGTGAGATTTTAACGGCTTGTTGGTTGATTAATTGTTAATTGGAGTACTTACTGTGTTGTTTGAATTCTTATAACCTGTTGCTGAGTAACATTACTTTAAAGCTTGTGTTTTTTCATTTTGGGAAGTAACTAAATATACAAACCTACCGTCGTGTAATTTAGAATTCCACTATAACTATAGTTAGAATGAATAATTATAAAGATTATGTCATGATTTCTTTTCATTTGTGTAGTGTTATACAACCAAGAACTGATGGCTTTCGGGTGCTTACATAACTTGTGTTGGCGTACAAGTCGAATTGAATCCACAATTTTTGATTCAGCAGAAGTTATCTTATAGTGGTAACTGGATGTATTGTGGTCACAAAATTGGGTGAATTGAAAGAAACTAAAAGTAAGTTTTAACTATTCTATGATTTGCTATTATGCAACTCATACAATACACGGAAGCAATGTGAAAATTGATTTTACATTATAAATGCGAAGTGAGTCTCGACGTTGCTAGGAGAGGAGAAGGTAAACAGTCAAAGTCGTTTTTCAATTCCAGTCGTCAATCTCGTATCAAATTAGGTCTCAAATCGAGGCTGCTGCTTCAGATGATGTGACTTTTCTTCATCTATAGTGAATCCATTCTGAGCAAACTATCGACTGATGAAGAGAGACGGAAAGAAACACGACTTACAATAAATTGATAAAAAATTCTCACCTAAGGGGGTTGAACTATATTTCTGATATTTTTCTCATTATTTCCCTGCTCTCTCCCATGCATTTCCTACTGTTACTTGATTTGCTAAAATTGTACTTCGATCCGAGTGTCGTGCCAAAAAAATAATGATTCGGTTCATGGTCTTCCAAGTTAATTTTTATGTTTTACGGATCGTGTGGTGTAGTCTCTCGTGTGCTTTGTCTTTTGTGATATATAAAGAGTTCATAGTTTGAAACCTTGAACTTCATGGTTTCGAGCTATGAACTCTTATTAATTATGGGGCCTAATTAACATAATGTGATGCTCTGCTACAGCGAGGCATACCCACCTAAACGAAAAAACCTTTGAAAAACTAAAAACAACTAAAATCTAATATTAGAACCCATTTTTTTTTAACACAATGCTTCACGTCGAATAGTTTGAACGAGTTTTGATCTTTTTGAAAAAATTTGCAGCTGGTAGCCAAACATGACAAATGCACGTGTCGCGAAACTCGGCGCCGTTCACAAACGTACAATGCCACTCCCCGTGACGAAAAACTTTCAGGTCGTGGTCGTGAGATACTTCTCTACTTGCGCGGCCCCACTCTTCCGCTCATCCTCCTCATCCTCCACTCCACTCATCCATCTTAGCCCGTCCTTCGTCCTCAACTCCTGCCTAACCTCGTCCGATGCTCCACAAAGGTCAGACGAGTGGTTCGCCCTCCGCAAGGACAAGCTAACGACGAGCACCTTCAGCACAGCCCTCGGCCTGTGGAAAGGAAACCGCCGCTACGAACTCTGGCACGAGAAAGTTTTCCCTCCTTCCGACTCGGACTCAGGCGTGGCCCCCACAAAGCGGGGCGCAATGGAGTGGGGTGTTCTAAAGGAGGCAGTGGCGATTGAGCGGTACAAGAGTATAACGGGCCGAGATGTGGGATCGTTGGGCTTTGCCGTCCACTCGGACGAGGGGCTGAACTGGATCGGGGCCTCGCCAGACGGACTTCTTGGGTGCTTTCCGGGAGGTGGGATTCTTGAGGTGAAGTGCCCGTATAATAAAGGTAGGCCCGAGATGATGCTGCCGTGGTCGAACGTGCCGTTTTATTACATGCCTCAGGTGCAAGGGCAGATGGAGGTGATGGATAGGGATTGGGCGGATTTGTACTGTTGGACTCCAAATGGGAGCTCGATATTCCGAGTGTGTAGAGACCGTGGGTATTGGGAGTTGATGTGTGGGGTGTTGCGTGAGTTTTGGTGGGAGAATGTTTTGCCAGCGAGGACGGCTGTTCTGGCGGGGAGAGGGGAGGAAGAGGTCAAGTCGTCGTTCAAGCCGAGCTCTACGCACAAGTTGACGGGGCTCATCATATCCAGAAGCTTGAAAATGGCACGCGAGACAAGGTTGCTGTGTAAGGAGATTGCGGGACATGTCGAATATTTTCGTTGGTAACCGATTTTTTGGTACAGTTCTGAAGATTCAATTTTAGTGACCTCTAAATTTCGATACGGTCCTATAAATTTCTGAATCATACCGACTCATGCTGACTTTATTTATGAACCATCCCGACTCATACTCACCACTTCCATTGATTCCATCAAATCAATGTTCTTTCAGCTCGATGGTTAGGCTTCGAACTTGCACTTTTCGCACAAAAAA